CTACTCGCTGGTGGCTGGCTGTGTGCTGCTGCTCAGGTGAGACTGCTGGGGACAGCGCTCACCCAACGGCTGATGTTGGCGATGCCTGGGACGAGGCACTGGCCTTGGTGTGCTGCAGATGCACACTCAGGCGCCTTGACATCCAATATCTGCTCCCCAGGTATCGGCCTGGACGCAATGCTCAGGACACTCCTGCGGGGAAGGTCCCAGCTGTGCAGTGCTGGTGGGACCATTTTGTCCATCCACCCCCGCATCCCACCCCACGTTCCTCTGCTGTGGTGGCCGGGGCTCTGATGGCCGTAGGTATGCCCAGGAGCGATGGATGGGCTTCACGGGGAGCCAGCTGGAGGGGACCCATGGGGGACATTGCTGCTGTGACATGGGCTGGCAGCTTCCTGCTCACAGCAAACCACCCGGCAGCAGTTGCAGGCAGCGCCTGCCTGGCTCCCTCCTGCCCTCTCCCGATTGCCACACGGCTGGCTCACCCAGTGGGGCCTCGGAAAACCTCCCGCTCCCTCCGCTGCCCAGGCTGGCTGGAGGGAAAAGCTAAACCCACCATGACAAGCCACCCAGCCCTGACCCCTGGTTGTCCTTTGTCCCTCCTGCCATGGCAGCCTTGGGTGCTGCACCCTGGGAGAGGGACGGGTTCATCCCAGGGAGGTGCCACCCTGATGCGCTGCTGTGGTCCCTCCGCAGCCCCCCTGCTCTGTGCTGTGAGCTGGGTGAGCACCGCCGGGCTGCCCTGCCTCCGGGCCGGGGGTGCCTGGTGCATCGCTGCTCTGGCTCTGCCTCTCCTGGGGATCCTGGCGGCAGCTCTGCTCATCCGGCGGCAGCCTCGGAGCTGGGAGAGAGCATCCTTCATGGTGAGCACACAGCCTGGCTCTTGGTGGCCGTCCCCAGAGGGAAGGTCCTGGGGGACGGAGAGGAGGCGAGTGCTGCAGCTCCATGGGGAAGGGGTTATGTTGCATTGGGGGGGTGTTCCCTGTGCATCAGGTCAGGCAGACCTTTGCTGCATCCGTGTTGAACAAAGCACTGTTGGAGGCATCGGGCAGCTCACAGGATTTTCCATGGGGACTGAGGGCTGCCTGGTTCTTCCCCCCATGTCTCACTGGCCTAAGGGGCACCTCCTGCGGCCCCCGCTCAGCCCAGTGCCTGCTGCCTGAATCAGAGCTGCTCTTCAGTAAAAAGAAACCCAGTCCTGGCACCATGGATTCATTTTGCTAGCGGTTTACTGCCTCCCCCTTAAATCCTGCAGCACCTCCTGCCCCGGTGTAGGACCTGTCAACCAAACCACTCTCCATGAGCATCCCTCTCCAGCACAGGCTGCAGGCCAGGCTGGGCTTCCTCTTGCTTGATGGCAACTAGCCAAAGCAGCCAAGAGCCTAAGTGGGCTGTGAAATCCCTGCCTGTGGGCTGGCTGGTGCCTCTGGGCAAAGGCATGACCCTGTTGCTTTGTGCTTTGTCCCTGTAGGTTCCCTGCCCACCCTTCTTGCCGCTCCTCAGCATCACCATCAACAGCATCCTGATGGCCCGGCTCAGCGCAGCTGCCTGGCTGCGGTACCTGCTCTGGATGGCCATCGGTAAGCCCGACCACCCTTGAGGTCCCGGAGCTAGTGGCAACATCTTTGGGTGAAGCATAGGTGATTTGAGAGCCCATGGCATTGATGCTGGCTGCAGGGCAGTGGTGGGTGGATGGAGGAGATACTGAACTTCAATGTCAAAGGGTGGTGGGAGCACCCTATCCTCTGACGTGCAGCCCAAAGGAGTGGGAACTTTGGGGCTGGGAGGGTAGAGGAGCCCCCCACACCTTATTCTGCCTGTTCCCAGGTTTCCTCATTTACTTTGGCTACGGGATCTGGCACAGCGCCGAGAGCTGCCGGCCTGAAGGGGCAGCCCCCCAGCAGCCCCCAGGAAGTGCGGCCAGGGAGGTGGCCCCAGAGCCCTGCGGGACTGCGGGGTGCCCATCTGCTCCAGGGCAATAAAAGGAGACAGGCTGGTGGTCCCTGAGCGCCTGGCTCCCTCCACCCTGTGCCTGGGGGGCAAAGAGGCCCCTTGGGCAGAAGGTCCTGTCCCACAGAGGGGCAGAGCCCTAACCGGAGCTGCAGGAGCTGTTTTCTCCCAAATCTGGTGAACCTCCATGAGCAACCTGAATCCTCATGGCAAGCCCCTGCTGAAGGAGTTTTGTTTGACAAGGATAAAGCAGACAAGTGTTTTTGCTGCTGTTATTGGGTTGGGGGGGTGGGGGTGGTTGTTGCCTCTGGAACCTCTCCCTGCAGCGCCCCCAACCTCCCCATCCCCTTGCCCACCCTGGCCCCTCAGCTGCTCTCGGCAGGGCAGAGTGGAGGCTCCTTGTGCTGCCCTGGCCCCCCACGCTGCCTCAGTTGTTTGACAAGGATAAAGCAGACAAGTGTTTTTGCTGCTGTTATTGGGTTGGGGGGGTGGGGGTGGTTGTTGCCTCTGGAACCTCTCCCTGCAGCGCCCCCAACCTCCCCATCCCCTTGCCCACCCTGGCCCCTCAGCTGCTCTCGGCAGGGCAGAGTGGAGGCTCCTTGTGCTGCCCTGGCCCCCCACGCTGCCTCAGCACCCCGAGGCTGGCAGGGCTGACCTGCCTGTCCCCCCACGACTGCTGAGGCACTGCCTGGGCCAGGCTTGTTCCTCCTGACTATGGGTAAGTCCTTTTCTGGACTCCCAGCACTCCCCTTTCCCAGAGCCAGGCATATTCCCCCAGGTCCTCTGCAGGATCTGCTCGGGGTGGGGGGTCATGGTACCAGGTGCTCAGGATGCCAGACCACCAGCCACATCTCCCTTTGCCTGGAGATCCTGCCCCCCTTCAACCACAGCTAGGTGGGATTTCCTGGGGCAGCAACCTGTCCCATTTCCCCTGCTTTGGTGCTACAGCACCTGGCATGTCCCTCCCATGTCCCTGAGGTTGCTGTGCAAAGCTGGAGGCAGCTCCACCACCCATCCCCAGAGCCCTGGGGATGTACGGAGCAGTGGGTGCCCTGGGGGGACGCTGCTCTGACACAACAGGCACCCCCATTCCCCACTCAGGGCACTCTGTGGAAGTGCTTGGGTGAGAGCCAGACCCCGTGCTACAGCACCTGGCATGTCCCTCCCATGTCCCTGAGGTTGCTGTGCAAAGCTGGAGGCAGCTCCACCACCCATCCCCAGAGCCCTGGGGATGTACGGAGCAGTGGGTGCCCTGGGGGGACGCTGCTCTGACACAACAGGCACCCCCATTCCCCACTCAGGGCACTCTGTGGAAGTGCTTGGGTGAGAGCCAGACCCCGCATCCGTGCTGCCTTCCTGGCTGCCTCGTTCAGCCAATGTTTTCCCGATAAGGATCAGCACAAAGGACGGAAGCGGCTGTTCCCTTCTTGTGGCTTTGTGGTGCCTGCTCCCACCCTGCCCTTGGTGCGGAGCACTCAGCCCCACTGTGAGATGCTCCTGCACTGATCCCCAAAAACCCACTGACATGGGACTCTTGAGGCTGCTGCTTCTTACAGACTTGTAATTGTTACAGCCAGTAGCATGTTGGCCTGGGGCACACACACAACCCCCCCCAAGCTGAACTGCCCTGGGGAGGGGACAGGGCAGTGGCAGCCCCCAGAGCAGCATCCGTCCCACCACACTCGTGCGCCCAGTGGAAAGTGCTTGTGTGCATCCAGCCCTGAGCTGTGGCCCCGCAGCTGTGCTGGCAGTGTCTTCCCAGATGGGGATGCACTGGCTCGGAGCAAGGAGGGATGTGCCCTGCTGGCAGCCACTGCTGAAGCCTGCTCCCCCCTTAGGAGGATGCTCCGCTCCCCAAATGTGCAGCACCTCTGGGAATGCAGCCTCTGCCTGGCCTGGGGGAGAAGATGGAGCTGGTGGTGCTGCTGATGGGCAGTGGGGACAACGAGGGCTTGGCCTCGGCGTGGCAGTCAGCAGGGGCACACATGGGACACAGGAGCAATCTGGGGGAGCCATTCCCTGAAGGTGGAGGTGATGGGGAGAGGGGGGCATGGGCAGAAGCCCTGCCTGGCCCCCCTCCACAGATGCGAGGCAGGTCCTGGGCAGGGGAAGCCCTGCTTTCACTGGAAATGGCACGAGTGGGTGGCATTGGATGGGAGAAGCCTGAGCAGGAGGCTGAGCCCCAAAACGGGACAGGTTGACGTGGTCTATGGCAAGGGCAGTGCTGGAGGTGGCAGATATACCCGGCTGCACCCATCCCTCCCGCCCTTTGTTGCCACCCTGGGAAAGCCTCTGTGGCTCAGCCCTGGGCTTGGCCATGCACTTCCCAGGGATGCTCCCCAGGGAGTGAGGTACCTTAACACCACCATGTCCCCAGTGCCCTCCTCATCCTCCCAGTGCTTGTCCCCATACTGTTCCAGTGACCACCTCGCCCCTGTGCCCCCAGGCAGCACGGATGCTGGTTATGCTCAGAGCCAAGTGCTGGGTTGGGTCCAGCCCAATGCACATCTGCATGTCCTGGCTGACCCCTTTTACCCCCAGAGAGCCCCCCAGAGCCTCCCTCCAGAGGAAGGGGTGCAGGGATGGCACGGGCTGGGGAAGGGCAGGCGCAAATGTCCTGTGAAATGCTCCATCCTCTCGGTCGGATGGGGCTGCCCCAAGGGCTCGGCTGGCCCGGGGGCCT